GCCCGGCCCGCCTCGCCTTCCGCCCTGCCCGTCAGCCCCGACGGCTGACCCGGCCCTCGGGTCTGCGCGTGGGTGCGTGTGGGGACGGGGCGCTGCTGAGCCCTGCGCGCTCAGGCACGGGTAGGGCCGCACTTGAAGATAAGGCTGCCTTCCTAGAAAGGGGTACCGCTTAGAAAAAACGGGGAGGGGGCCTCCTGATAGCTTAGGCGGCGTTGGAACTCCCGGATGGTCTCACCTCAGGGCAAAAGCTTCCTCACTCCACACACCGCTGTCCTTGAGGAGAGGAGGGAGCCACGTCTGGGGAGCAGTGCGAGTGCTGGTGTTCTTACAGCCTTTCTGCTGTCCTCTGTATTTACAAGAGATTTCCTCTTGTTTTTTGCCTTCCAGATGCCAACCTCTGAAGGGCAGATCTAAGCTAATTTGAAAGGCGGTGTGAGAGAAGGCAGCGGTGTGGCAGCTGCTGCCTGATGCAGTGATGTCTGTACCCTTCTCGGGATCGTTTTCCTGTCAAAGTGTCGCTGATGGAGGGAAGGAAGCAAGCCGTATACCCTCTTCCAAAAACTTCAGAAGAACAGTTATGTCGTTTCCAAGGGCACACGAGTTCATTCGTGAGCCCCTAAGCCACACTTCACCTAGCCACCTGCTGATCTTCAACCCGCTGCAATCTGTTGGATAACAAGGTAAATTGCAGTAACACAACCTTGTTTTTAAATCTGCAGGGCATTTACTGTGGAGTTTTACTGTGTCACTTCACTGGCATAAAGATACAGTGCAGGTGGGGTCAATAAGGCATCTTGTTTTCTTACTTGTAATTCACTTCAGGCCTTCCAGGGAATTGCTAAGTAACTCCTAGTCATTAAAAAATCATTCTCATTTATTTTCTGGCATGAACAGAGGGCAGAATGTGTGACATCATTACCCATCCATGGCAACAAGCTATTGTGAACCAGTAGGGTCAGTCAAAAGGAAAATCTTTAGAGAGAATGTTTCTTTAAACACAGTAATCATCAGCACTACAGACTTACATTTTGCTCTGCAAAAGTACTGAAAGGTGTATGTTGCTGGGATTATAATAGTCTTTTCATTCAGGAATACACTTGAGCAGCTAGAACATTATTTTGAGCTTTTGCCATCTCTTTCTTGACATGTCCAAGTTGTATTTGTAATATATGAAAGTCCCTGTGTAGTTCTACAAACTAAGCAGCCATTACCTCATCATAATTGTAATGGTCGGGTGACAGAAGCCATACGAGGTTTATGAAGCAGGGTGAAAGGTTTTGTTAGACTACCTGATGGAGTAAGAAAAAAATGAACACACTTTTGGGCAAATAAGTCTTAACTGGGACCCCAAGTTTTTTCCAAGTACATTTGCAGATTACTTGAAAATTTTACTTAGCCCCACAAACACTACATATTGAGCAGATGTTTTATCAGCTCTCTTCTCATAAATCTAAACCAGAGGCATTCATACATCTAAACCATCATGCCAGTGCAATGATCAGCCATTGTCACCTTCCAGTTAAAATCAAGGGAAAGCAAAGGGTGTAAAACTGAAGGAACATTTAACCCAGTTGGGTCCAAGCTATTAATTGGGTATTGTACGAAATGCTTACTACCAGTGATGATCTGTGTCCTGCAGGGTTCTTGTCCTAGTCTTGGGGCCCACAAAGTTCTGAACATGTGTTTATTTTTAGAAACATTATTAAAGAATTTGTTTTAGCCATCAAGATATGTGGAGGTCCTTTGTAGAATCTGTCTAGATTAACTTTACAGTAAACTGAAGTTAGAGCCTGCTAACCCCTGATCCTTTTGTGACCAGACTGTGATGATAGAAAAGTTTATGTCAAGAATAAATCAACTCTACATGGAGGTTTCATTTCCACATCAGCACAATCTATTTAGGCACTCATTCTCATGCTGAGGTAAAATTGATTCCTACAAAGTTAAACTAAAAAAATATAGTTCATCAAAACACCTTAATGTATTCATTACAAAAGGTTCATAATGAAAGGAAAAAAGCCAGTAGTACAGATTAGCTTCTCCAGGGATTTAATTTCTAATTTACTGAGGTCTCTAAAAAGAAAACAAGACTCTTCAAGTTAAATTATAATTTTCAGCATAAAAGATTCAAAATTTTTATCTAGTCTTATCTTTGTGGAGAAGGAGTAACTCACTTTGCATAGATAGACCAGGTGTTGGTTAGATCTGCTAAAATCAATCTGCTGCTCAGAATATCAGAGAAAATTCAGAAAATGCTCCCAAAATTGCAATCAATTATTAGTCCACAGGGCGTGATGCAGCAAAATTAGCAGTCTTCCAGTTTGAGCAGAGCAGAGCTTGTGTAAGTAACTTTTACCCTATCCTTTCTGCTTGCAAAATTATATGGGTGCTGAAGGATTCAGAGGGCATTGTGCTCCAGAAATCACCAGTGTGGCTTCCCAGGACTCTTACTGGGTAAAATGCATCTATAGTACAGTTCCTTCTGAGTTGTTCTGAACCTGTACTGTACTAGTGCAGCACAGGCCTCTGCTCAGTTATGTTTAATGATTTAGAGCTAAGTCCAAATGAGATCCTTGAGGTAAAGTTGCTGTGGAAGTACTATACTAATTGTGTTAATACTGGAAAGTGAGTCAAAGCCAGAGAAAGTGATTTGGCACTTTGTGGTCAATCATTCTAAATGGTTTACTGAATATCAGTGCTCAAAGTAGGAAACAGCATGTCATTAATCCTGTTACAAACACACTTGATATCAGCAAAACGTCCACCTTCTGTCTGGACTGAGCTTCTGTCTGGATTTAAAAGAGCAATTCCTCTCATTGGTCCACTGTTTGTCTTTTCAAACTACCAGAACTATCCATGTAAGTTTGGTAAGTACATATACTTTTAAGATATTCATCAAAACCTTTTTTTTTAAAAAGACTCTTCTTATAAGATGAATTCCATCTTCCCCAATGTTTATTTTATTTCGTTTCCCCTGCTCTGCTTGTATTTATGAAAGAGGCGATTGAGTTACTAAAAGTGAATTATATGAAAACTGAGGAAGGGAGGGATTCTCACAATGTTTACTCGTATGACTGCAGGAAAGTAAAAGCCAGTCAGCATAAATGTGCAGCAATGACTAATTAATCGCTGCCACAGAAACAAGTGCTCTATCACCGCACCTGATGTCATTCACAGCCTTTTCTGGGGAAATACCACTTTTTTTCTCCTGTTCTTTTTTTTTTTTTTCATTGACTGAAGAATTAAACAGAAAAACAGTTTATCAGTTAGCATTCCAGTAAAGCTAATTGGATTCCGAAATCTATTGTTATTTTAAGCTATTAAAAGATTACCACAATTACTTCCTCTGTGGTTCAAAAGGGAAAAGCAAAAAGGCAATGTACAATATTACAATCTACAGATTTGCTGCCCTTTGAAATTACTAGCTTTTGGCTGGTTGATCTGGAGTTTGACCATTACTTCTCAGATTTAATCTTTTCATCATGCAGTTGTACACATTCATTTTTTGAACAGCCACAACCTGCAGTGAATTTAAAGGACTGTGTCCAGTCACAATTTATCTCTGACAAAAGAATACAGGGCATATATCACAATATCCTGACTCTTACTCAGTATTACCTGATCTGGCAAAGAAACCCAGAGGGTGTAGACATGTCATACTGAATTAAATGGGGAATTGTAGGAGGGACATGCCTGAAGTACCCAGCACAGATTATCACAGCCAACTTTGTTTTTTTTCAAGTCTTGTTGTAAATTGTTTTGATGGAGAAGGTTATAGAGGAGATGGAGAGGTTAATAGTACGAGGGATATCTCCTGTTGAGCCACCTGGCTAGATTATACTCTGTGACCTTACTGCAACAAATTCTAGCAATTTGCTTCTAGGAAATTACAGAAACAAAAGATCTGTAGTAGCATCTATCATGTTGCCTACCATTTACCAGGGAAGAATCTTCTGTCTACACATACACAGCACAATCTGTTTCTAAATGTAGGTAGAATAATAATATCTCTACAGTGATGCTTGCACGGATAGTAAAGAATCCATGTTTTCATTTGGATGGTGTATAATCCTTTTCATGGTGTTATGCTTGAATGTTTTAGTCTCAGGTTTAGTTCCATTGTGATACAGGAGTGGCTTTTCTCCGAGGTCACGCAGGAAGTACACTCCAGCGACACCTAGGAAGGCTCATTCTAATAAAGTCATTGCTTTTAGATAAAAATTGCTAGAACGTGCTGTGGAAAAGTGAAGAAATATAATTATCTGGCTTCTGATACAGAAAAGCAGATGACTGGAGTATTAAAAGCAGCATTTTTGAATGGCATAAATAAGTATGTGTTTTTCTTTACGAAGTTCAGGTTCTAATGCTTAACCATGTACAGAGAGAGAAAGTGCTGGAAATGTACATGCTTTGTGCAGTGGCTGCTTGTCCCATTAGAAATAGACACCACTACATGAGGGTTTTCTGCAAGTTGAGTAACCATCAGCAAGTGCTAGCATTTGATACGTAGTAGAGCACTGGTGAATTCTTTGGGCAAGTGTTCAACTGAAATATTTAACAAACTAGAATTTAAGTTTTGTCTTGTATGTATCTGCTGGAGCTACAGCTCCTGTAATCCTCTATTCAAGGTCATGCCACTAAAAGAAATTGCAGTTCTATTTAAAAATATTAATCTTTAGGCAAAATCTAGTATCACACTGTCAGAGACGAACTCTCCTACTCGGTTATATCAAACCTTCCTACTGGAGTCAAAACAAAACAACACAAAAGACTACTGTAGGACATCTGCAGTCACTGATCAAATGCTGCCTCAGAATACAGCTCAAAACCTTTAGTATGATGCCTTGTTAGTTTACATCACATGGTTTCCCAAAGAAAAAATCTTATTGATGTTACTATGGCATGTACATTGGATATAGGCGAAGTTCTGGCAAAGCCATTCTGGGCCGTAGGATTACCTGGCAAAACTATGGTGTGTAATAAGTTACTGCTGCTGCATACAATATAGGATTGTGTTTTGGTGCGAAAAAGGAAAAATAGGCCAGTAAGTCTTGTAAACTCCATACTGGACCAGCTAGGAACATACCAACTTATGGTGTGCCCCAGAAGGTCTCAGGCAGTTGTTTTGACTATGTGTACCAACACTTAGTATTTTGTTGTCTTTAGAGGGTTTAGCTTTCATATAAGCTATAAGCAAAGCATATAAGGAAGGTTCAAAACATGCTGAATAAGCTCCCTTGGCATTCTTTCTTAATGTATTTGTGTTTCTGTATTTCATCACATGATACCTAGGCCTCCTCCTTTGGACTGGGGTGAACTGTAAGTCCCAAGTTTTCCTGTTTTCACTATGTGAGAATATAGAGTGTGGGAAAGCTTTGATTATCCATGCTTACGCTTGGTGATACCATGAACAAAAACTGGACTGAAGAAGGATCTTGAGAGACTGGTTCAGATAAGCTTTATAGTTAAGATTTTCGAAATACTTTTCTGCTTGAAAGGCAGTACAAAACACTCAATAAAGAGATTAATCACGTCTCATCCTTTTGAAAGTTCTCGTCTAGAGAATTTTTTTAATCTAGGTTTTCTTTGAATAGGGACCCAGTAGC